TGGAGCTCACATCTTATCGAAACCTAACAGAACCACCGAACTCCGGGAGGGTCCCTGGTGTGGGCTTTTAAGGTCGGAGAAGAGTCACACCTCTCAAGGTGGGCTTGTCCAATGAGAAAGGAAGAAATTCCAAGCGGGAGGTTGCAATTGCTGGAGGGTTTTACGACCCTTTGTTCGAGGGCATGGTAATTTGCACATGTAATTCGCTTGGGGTGCGGATGCACAAACTAATAAAGATTCTTAGAACACTAATATGTTGCATAGGTATAAACATACAATATACGCTCTCAATTAGATCATCCGAATACTAATTCATAGATACTAAACATGGTAGGGTTATATATATATGTAAGCTGACAGGAGTGAGTGTTTCGATCATAAGCCTGCATAAAACAGTATACAATCTCAAAGACAAAAATACACGATGACAATAATATACACAATGACCTGAAGGATCATGTGTGTTCATTCAAAGAAAGGTTTTCCTATCAATTAATTAATTAGCAAAGAAAAGTCCATCCCTTGTGGATTTTCCTTATGGACAAGGCAGTGATTTTCTCCACCTAAATTCCAGGAGGTCGTAAATGTATCTGGTGTCAGGGTTGCCATGGTAACCAGGGGGGGCCTGGTGGCAGACATCCTGGCATCCAGTTTATTGGGTGAGGGGACTGTGACGATTTGTTAATCTAATGAATAATTGATTTGTTAAATCAAATGAAAAATGTGTCTGATTGGTCCAGACACTACATAGGTGTTAACTTCACTATTGATTAAGAGCTATTTTTCCAGACATCATATTATTCAGATGATTCCAGAGGAAAATTGCTTTTTTTCAAAGCTCAGTTTAGTTTGTCTCTGGATTGTCTCATGTGTGTAATTTCTGAGCCACTAGTGGTACCAAACAGAATTAATGTCACTAAAAAACGACAGCTTTTGCAAATGGGTTTCTGGAACACTCTGCCCATCTATCAATGGTCAAAAAAAAAACAGCTGGTTGATCCAATGTTGCTGTGTCGGGTATCTCAAACAAACTATTTTGAAAGGTTCAGGAATTTAACCTATTAAAGGCTTAATTAAATTTGTTTCATGAGCAACGCAGTGACATTGTTTTTGAACCAATCAGCTGAATAAATGATTCAATGACTCATGCGATTCATGTGAATGATTTAATAATTTGGTCATAAAGAGAGTATTTTTTTGTTCCTGAATATATCAGTAAACGCTAACAAATTGATTAAGTAAATAATTCAATGGCTCAACAGTCACTTCTTGAATGAATCGCTGTTGTGAACTAATTGCCTAATCATTCAATGACTCACTCATAAATTATTTATTGAATCACTCACTTACTGACTCAGTGATTCATATGAAGGATTCAATTATTAATGGGAATGAATCAAAGATTCACTCATAAAAAGAATAAATTGTTTTGTTCATGAATGAATGAATCAGTATTTTTAACAAATTAGTAAAATATTGAATGACTCATTGACTATTCATGAATGAATCAGTGTTTTTGAACAAATCATATGAATTAATGATTTAATTAGTCACTCACAAAGACATTTACTTGCGACCAGGGCCGGCCCAAGCCTTTATGGGGCCCTAAGCAAAATTTTATTTGGGGGCCCCTCGGTGTTGCCAAAACGACTGATTATTGTCAATGCTTGATTATTCGCACACTATAAATCTAACTCACTTATTATCAGTTTTATTTATTTTAGCTGTGTTGCTTACATTATACCAATGTTTTTACCTTTCTGTGATTTTTAATTGTAACATTAGCAAACCCACAAGAGTGGTCAGATGGAAATGTGCACTTTAACATTCAGTCTTACAGTACTAAGTGGTATATAATGTGGTGTACTGAAAAGTAGCTAAATAAACCATTTACAGAAAAGAATGTTATTTTAACAACATAAATTATTATACACAGCAGTAAGCCATCTGTACATAAAAAAACAACAACTCTTAATCTATAACTAACTAATTGAGGCATAATGATATTGGAATATACTAGCAAAGACCCCAAAGGTAGGCAAAGGTAAATAATGTTAAGCTGTTATTAGTACCAAGTTTATGAAACATAATTGTTTTATTACAAAAAATATATACCCAGGAAAGTTATTTTTACACAGAAGACAAAAACTTTAATCTAAAATTGTATTTACACTATGTTAAAATAGCAGGTTTTTCTGCTATTTATACTACTTATTGAAAATAGTGGCAATTATCTGCACCTCAGTATTATAGTACATTATAAAACAGTATGCAGTATTGAGTGTAAAGGTAGGCAAAGGTAAATAATGTTAAGCTGTTATTAGTACCAAGTTTATGAAACATAATTGTTTTATTACAAAAAATATATACCCAGGAAAGTTATTTTTACACAGAAGACAAAAACTTTAATCTAAAATTGTATTTACACTATGTTAAAATAGCAGGTTTTTCTGCTATTTATACTACTTATTGAAAATAGTGGCAATTATCTGCACCTCAGTATTATAGTACATTATAAAACAGTATGCAATAATAACTTATTGAGTGTACATTTTAATTTGAATTTGAATTATTAAATGGATGCCACCTTATTGGGACAATAAAGCCCTCCCTACACCTACCCTAACCCTACCTCATACTTTATTTTCAAATTTTTGATTATTTTCTTAATTTTCATGGAAAATAAAGGCTTTTCTGATGTGATTTGAAATTCGAAAAGGGAGAAAAAAGTTTGCCAAAAGGTGGATTCGAACCTGGGTCGATCGTGTCAAAATGAGTACGACACATGCTTTACCATCTGCGCCACTGGAACTGGTGGCAGCTGACTGTCTTTTGTAATGTTCACTAGTCGAATCACACGATGGTGGGCGGCATTAATGTAAATAGCCTCTGCCAACAAGGCGGGCTATTTGCACTTAGTGTAAATAGATACTCCGAAAAGCTTAGTTCGCTTATGCCTTGGGCCGGCTCTGCTTGCGACCACCTACTGGCATAAATGTAACCCACAAAAAGTTTAAGTGAAAATTCTTCACCACTGATGCATGTAATGTACACTACTGCTATTAATTTATCCTCATTTCTGTCCAGGTGAGATGTTGAAGAGATGTGGGATTTTCTTAGTGAGTAACTGTGTCAGATAAAAGTCGAACCAAGAACTGTGGTCACTATCAGGTCAACCACATCAGAGTCTGGTTACCTGATCTGAGATCAGCCTCTCCCTGATCTCCAGTTACAGGAAGAGCAGCATTTTATGGAGCTGTGTTTATGAATGAGGCAGGGTCATCATTGATTGTTTATCTTGTATTCTTGATTCTTCTTCCCAGAATCCTTTGCTTGGTCCCATAGGGGAGGTGCTGGTGTGTGCGAGCTTATGTGTTGGGGAGGGGGGTATTGGAAAGGCAATTGCATAACATCAGCACTCTGTGTGCTTTGGTGTTGAACTGTGAAGGCGTGCGACTTTGAAAAGACTCCCATGGGAACTCAGTGCTTTTAGTTCCCGTTTGCTCAGTCCGATGAAATAACAGGCCCTAGGCCATGGTGAGCACCCAGCAGAAGGGGGTGGGAAAAAGATGCGCATGTAAGCTAAGCTAGCGGTGTGTTTACGTGTTTATGTAGGTGTGAGTGTGAGACAGAGAGTGGAAGAGAGAGAAACGGAGTGTGTGTTTTATACACGTTTGCCGCAGATGCAATATGTCATGATACAGAACTGCAAAGTGCTAAACGGCTACAGACAGCGAAGTGGACCATTTGGGGATTTGTGTAAAGAGAACAAACAAAACAAAAACAATTTTTAGGTTACAACAGTGCTCTTTCACAGTAAAAAACTAAAGACTGAACATGAAGTTTCAGATGAAACCCGAACTAAGAAGTGTATAATTAAGCACTACTAGCAGCACCAAACAAGTTTTCCAATCACTCCATCTATCTTCCATTGATCAAAAACAACAAAAAAACAGATAGCCCTGTCCTAAACTCAAACCACTGGTTGAGCCACAACTTAATGTGTGGAACTCACAAAACCACAGTGTTTACAACTTTTTTTGAATGTTAGCCTACAAATCGTTTACTATCGAATCACTCTGGACCCCTCACATCCAGCACACTCCCTCTTTGAACTGTTGCCATCTGGTCGACGCTACAGAGCTCTGAGCACCAGAACGACCAGACACAGGAACAGTTTCTTCCCTCAGGCCATCCATCTCATGAACACTTGACAATAACTGTGGAACACACACTATTTATTCACTCATACACTTATTTATCTAACACACACACTCAGTCTACATTTCAATTTGCACATAATATACCTGTACATACAACTGTCTATTGTTATATACCTGTACATACAATTGTCGATTTGTATATTTTTATTCCTTATTTACGTTCTATTTTTCTATTTTTTATTATCTGTGTTTTTGTTCTGTCACTGTCATTCTGTTACACTGTGGAGCTTCTGTCATGAAAACAAATTCCTCGTATGTGTAAACATACCTGGCAATAAAAACTCATTCTGATTCTGATTCTGATTCTAATATTTGTCTCTGAAGTAACAAAAGAAATACACTTCACATTTGGGGTGACTCAAAATATGACCATAAACCATTACAAACTATACAACATGAAACACTCAAGCTCGCCAACAATATAATTAAGCTGTGTCTCATTTAGAAGGCTGCACCCTCCGGAGGTCGCATTCGAAGGCTGCATATGTCATCGAGGCTGTCTCCTTTGAGAAAAGCAAGTAGGACACTCCGAATGCGACCTTCGAATGCGACCTTCTTTCACAGAAATTCGGAGGATGCATGAAGTGTATCCTTCGCTGCTACAGATAACCCACAATTCTTTGCGTCAGATGTAACGTACACACAAGCGCAGATGTTGTTTTTAATATCCTCCTCCTTTTTTTCTCTAATAGATGCCTGCTGTAGGTACGCTGCAGCTCCTCAAACATTGAACAAAATAAAACAAGTAAAAGCATATTTTTTTTCAAATTACTTTCCAAATTTAGAAATAATTTTCCTTCATTTAAGTAGTGTGAGAGCGCAACGATGCTCTAAATGTGTTGGCATAGCAACGTGATACTTCCGGTTTCCTTTTCCGCCCGTCCTACGAAGGCCGTCTCGTTTAATTCTAGGTTGAGGACACTTCGTATATGCATCCTACAGAGGATGCGACCTCCAGAGGATTCGACCTCCGGAGGGTGCAGCCTTCTAAATGAGACACAGCTTTAGATATATGACTAGATTATAGTCAACATGAAAGGCTGTTCGCAGCAAATATGCTGACTTAAACTGACTTATTTCTGAGCAATATAAGATATTTAACAAGAAAAAAAAATGAAAGGACAGGACTTCAAAAAATTAAAGAGGGATTTATGATGTCAGTCGAAAAAGAAAAGTTGTTTCATAGGCAGAGCAAATTTTTTAAAGATGCACTGATGAATTATACACATAATAATCATACACGCAATAAAATAGCAAATACGGCTCATTTTAATTTCATGCTGATTTTAACTTGTCATCTGATATTTGATGCATGATGTCAATAGATTAATAATTCTTACTTTTCTGGCATCGACCAAAACAATCCGAACTAGCACCACGTTTATTAGTGCCCCGAGAGAATGATCATGATAAATCTCGTTCACCTGTGAAGAGAAAAAAAGCAGTGTTAGATCCAATATTAAGAGCTTCATATTAAGACAGGCTGATATTGTAAGAGCAAAAGGCCCCATTTTAAAATACATTCCATTAAAGGAAATTATGTTTGCTTTCTTGAAACTCATGTAACAGGTCAAACTAAAGTGCTCTGAGTGAGAATTATGACTAAGTGATATCCAAGACTTCACACTGGGGACATCTTCTACAGATTCAATGTTCCAGTCTGCCTTTTAGATATGTTTCAGCATTATGCTAGAAAAGAAAACTGTTGTGCAAATTGGATCTGTGTACATTGCGTTCATTCGTTATTTGATTTAATATTGAAAACAGAAACATGAGAAAACGGCACCATTTTCATTTTTGTTTTTTTTCAAAAACATGAAAAGACAAGAATTCGCCTTAATTTTTCGTTTTTACATTCAGGGGTAGAAAATGGATAAACAACTTGAATGTTCGATTTCCATGTGTGGGAGGGAATTAAATGCCCCTTTTCACTGATTGGTCAAGCAAAAATGAAACCATAATTTTTGCAGTGCCATCATGTCATCTTCAGTTCTGTGCAACAGAATAAGAGTCCTCCACTGTTAAGGTGTTTATTGTAACTCCTGCATTTTGTCTTTCTCTCATCAAACAACCAGACTAACAAATGGACAGGGTTTACTTCTGTGTAGGCATAGTTTCTCTATGGCAAGTATTAGGGGCTTATTGCAGAAATATGTATGTACCTCAGATCTGCAGCCACATTACCCGTTTAGTCTATTTCTTTTGGCGCACTGCACATTTTATTTAGCTGTCCAGTTATCAAAATCTGTGTGGCAAAGCTGCGTGACGCACTGGACAACACGGGGCGAATGCATTTACATTATAGTGAAGCGCAGACTACAAATGATTTTAATGTGAATACGCAGAAGTCATGACTTTTATTTTAGACAGTACAGTTTCATTAATAATGAGTATGAATTGATTTCATATTAAACACAAAACAGTGTTATTTGACTTAAAACACAGGCGTTTCATTCTTGAATGAATCCGAGACTATGAATTAATCGTTTGTGCGAGTGGTTCAATGACCCATTTGCTTTGCTCCTGAACAAATCAGCATTTTGAACGAATCGGTTGAATTGATGAATCTATGACTCATTCATCAACACAATGACTTGCCGCCACCTACTGGCGATGTAACCTTCATAATTTAAGTATCCTATTGTTTCATTTTGTTACTCATTTAATATTTCTGTAGGCTATTCAGAATGTTTTTGTTTAAAACATTAATCTCATTCCATTATGCAATTGCTGTGTTAATGCATTTACTGCCATCTCAGCAGAATTGTGTAAATACATCTAAATTCAACTTAAGATGCAGCTTCTGTGCCATAGTGCAAAGATGGCTTTGGTTGGTACTGATGTAATTGGTAATACGTATGATGTCATATTTTTCAAATATTGACTAAATTCAGGACTTTAATATTAAAGGTGACAGACATATTTTATAAAGTTAGAAAAATGCCCTTGTAGGGTATCAGAGTGAATAAGACAATTTAAGATTCGATGAAGAACATGGTTGAAACACGAGGAGCCGAATTCCACAGAAAGGCCCAAGACAACAGGATGTTTATAAATCAGACCCTAGCACCAGCCAGTCTGAAGCAAGCCTAACCAACCAACTCTTTAACACAAAAGAACAACTCAGGAAGTAGATTGTCAGATTTGGGGCAAGTAATCAAGATTGATGGTCAAAGATATGCACAGCATGACCATCACATGTAAATCCATGATAGTAATCCAGATCACAAGCTCTCTGGATTGGTTTCCCCCACCTAGAAGACAAAGACCAGACTGAGATTCCTTATGAGACCTTTTAACCTCTGGTCTTTTACAGATGTAAATGCATCAAAATGATCTCAAAAAGACTTATAAACGAATATCAGTCCATTGCTTAACTCCATATCATGTATGTAACCCACACATTTGACTATCAAGTTCTAATCACTTATATTGTATGTCTTTTTAATAACTATTGAATAGCTTAAGGGTTCATATTCATGTTTAGTATGTGTGTGTTTGAATCTTCTTGCTTGAAATGTTTCTTCCAATCAATACTTTGTCGAATGTATCATATTCTTGTTATAGAAATCATGTCCAAAAGTATACTCTGCAAGAGCGGGAAAATTCGGACCATGTGACTGATGAGATGACATGTTGATTTATGTATTGGGAGGAGAAACATACAACACCCCGAGCTAAGACATTGTTTAATTGATCAAGACAAGATTTGGGATGTGTCCAAAATCCCAGTTTAAATACTCAGGACACCATCAAATTATGCTTCTAGCCTTTTAGCCACTGCGTTTTGCTATATTGCTATAAACTTGGGATTTCACATTTTCATTCTCTTAAACTCATTCTTTCCTCACTTTCTCTCTTCCTGCAACTTGTGTGAATGTGTGAGTGCGTGTGTTTATGTGTAAGACTACTTTATATGTCTTAGATTTATCCAATAAAGCCTTATTTATATTGAAAAGATAAGTTTCTTGTGTTTTGTGCTTACAAGTTAATTTCTCAAACTGCTGATCTTGTTACTGTGCTAATAAATAGTGTTTTCACTATACTTTGGATATTAATATCCATTGCAGAATTTATGTTATATGGCTCGTTCATTGAATCGCTGGCCGACTCAGTGATCAGCCGTAAAACCATGATTCTGTCCAAATTCCCTATAAAATCTTAAATGATTCCCTTTGAGCTAAATTGACCTGTTTCCCTTACACCCTTTTATTAAAAAAATAGCATGTATTATATACACGTGTAACATGCCGTTGGATAATGACAGTATCATATAAACTTCTCTATGAAAAAAAAAACTTATCAAAATGGTAAGATAGCTTTATATTCACACTAAAGCCGATAGTGGTCTGTGCTTCACTATAATGTAAATGTCACGCAGCTTTGCCACACAGATTTTAATAACTGGACAGCTAAATAAAATGTGTGGTGTGCCAAAGAAATAGACTAAAGGGTAATGTGGCTGCAGATCTGAGGTACATACATATTTCTGCAATAAGCACCTAATATTTGCCGTATAGAATCTATGCCTACACAGAATCAAGTCCTGTCTAGGCGTTGCCCCAGTATGGTTTGTGTCAAGCCATTTGTTAGTCTGGTTGTTTGATGAGAGGGAGATGAATGCAGGAGTTGCAATAAATGCGTCAAGAGCGGAGGACTCTTATTCTGTTGCACAAAACTGAAGACGGCATGATGATGGCACCGTTTGATGTTTGCTTGACTAATCAGTGAAAAGGGACGTTTCATTCCCTCCCACATGTGGAAATCGAACATTCAAACTGTTTATCCATTTTCTACCCCTGAATGTAAAAATTGAAAATCAAGGCGATTTCTTGTCGTTTTTTTTAAAAAACGACAAACTAAAATGGTGCCGTTTTCTCATGTTTCTGTTTTCAATTTTAAATCAAAAAATGAATGAACGCAACGTACACGGACCAAAATGGCTAGCAACTTTAAATGATAAATAATAAAGTAATTATAAATATTAACTGTAAAGAAATAAGCATCACAACTGTTTTCAACACTGTTTATTATAAGAAAAGTTTCCTGAGAAGCAAATCAGCATATTAGAATAATTTCTGAAGGATCATGTGACACTGAAGACTGGCCTAATGACGGCTGAAAACACATTTCTCAATATTTTAAACATTTCTCAATTTTACTGTTTTTCCTGTATTTTTGTTAAAATGAGTGCAGCCTTGGTGAGCATAAGAGCCTTTTTTTCTAAAACATTACAGACTTTTTCAGAACGGCGTTGTACATGTAAATATATATACTTAGTCTCTTTATGAAGCTGTTTTGCTTGTGCTATCATTTGCTATAGTTGCTGTATAAGTTTCAGCTTTTAACATATCTCAGCTAGTCTCACAGTTAATCAAATAGAAACACGAGTTAAACTCCAGCTAGACCATCTTAAGCAAGCTAAGACCAGCAAACCATCAAAGGCTAGGTTATTTTCAGTAGGATTTTTCAGGTTTTACAAAATTTTTGGGGCCATTCTGTCCCCGCAGAGACAGCAAAGCGTAACACAGCAACAAACAGCCAGCCAGCAAAGCTGCACTCAATAATGTTTAAGAGAGCCTTTTTCATTTCCCATGATTCTGCAGTTTGACTTCTCACCCCGTGCCTCAGCCATCTTTACTTATTCAGTTTGTTGAAGGATGGGCCTAATGCACTGTGGGAAACGTTGTTCCCAGACAGAGAGGGAGACAGAGGCAGACAAATTGGTACAGAAGTTCAGACATGGTGTCCTCTGCCGCTCTGGAAGCCTGCTAATGAGACACCGAGATGTATACACAGCCAACAATAATGAGATTTCTGATGGACAGACTGCGGCAGGGGGAGCAAGAATAAGAGACGAAGACAGACAAGAAGAAAGGGGCTTAAAAGGGGGCGGCAAGGAAGAAGGAAAAGCATTATACAACACGCTTTCTGAAACTGATGTGTCCCTGCACCGACTCACCTGCTCTTTTATATGTACGATTCACCGGTTGCCGAGCAACAGGCAAACTTCAGAGTGGGGTGGGGCCCTGTTTCTCTCTCTCTTTCTGTGTGTCTGTATTCCTGGCATTCCCTCTCTGCTCGCTGTCATTCCTTTTGACTGTCGGAATATGTTTTGGTTGCGCTGTCTATTTGCTGACTTTGTTTTTACAGTTCACAACTTTACTGAATTCATCATCCCTTCCCTTTCAGTTTTAAATCAGTATATGTGTCTGCAGCTGCCAAAAGCTTATCTTTCAAACTAGTGTATAGGCCTTTTCCGTAGCATTCGCCAAGATTTCTTGAGAAATTCTAAAGAGCACAGCTTTTAGGCTTGGTTGCCTTAGTAACCGCATTGATACAGATGCCTGGTAAAGGCATAGATGACTTCCAGGTGACCATGACTCCAGTGTTCCAAACGTTAATGATTGTTAAACTGAGGTAC